TGGGAAGGTGGCCTTCTATATTCATCCCAAGGGTGAAAGTGCATGGGCACAGAAGTGAGAGATGTGGGTTCTGCAGGGACATGGGAAGGTGGCCTGTTACCCAAGGAGGAGGAACGCAGAGTCCTAAGGCTGGGATAAAAGAGAAAGCCAGTAGATCCCCTGCTTCTCACAAGGGCTCCTCAATCATCCCAGCTAAGCCAAGGCCACAGGGGAGGACAGATGTATCTGAAATCTAATCTTCTTTGGTCCTGCATGGTATTCCCTACTCCAGCCCCAAAAGAAATCAGATGGAAGCTAGAAGTCAAGCTTCGGGTTAAAAGAGATTGAATAGCTGGGTTCCTCACTCCCAATCCCTTCAATCCAGGTTGTTAGAGGCAGGAAAGGAGAAGATACTGCGTGGTGTCTGAACCTGTTCTCTTGGCTGGGAAGGGAGTTACACAGAAAACAAGAAGATAGAGGAAAATGTCACCACCCACCCCCTGCGTGTGCAGGGAGGGACATCAACGAGCCTGCCCACTAGCAGAACCAAAGCAAGGCAACTCACCTGTCCACTAGAGAATATGAACACGAGAGCTGCCCCAGCTGCTGTCATCCCCCAGGTGAAGAAGGTCCCCAGCAAGGCCTGGAACACAGCGCTGTGGCCTTGGAGCATCCTGGATACAGCTGTGTGCAGAGGAGCAAAGGATCAGCCATCAGAGGTCCCTTTGGGTGACACTTACTTGTTCTTCTGTGTCCTAATTCCCCTGTTTAAGTTGTCTTCATCCGGAATGGTGGCATGCGGCCTTCTGCCACACCAACCCAAGGGTCCTCAACAACCCAGCACACAGGTCAAGCTTCTTGATCCCAGGCCCCCAGGCACTGAGAGGATCTAACTCTGAAAAAGCAACATGGGGACATAGGGAGCCTCACAAGAGGTTGCAAAATTGAGAAGTAGTTCCAGAGAAGCACAAAGATTGTGGATAACCAAGAGGAAGGGTTCTAAGGTCTGACGCAGTCAGGGGCTTATCTCGGGCTCATTCTGCAGATTCCACCTGGCCCTGCCCATCATTTGTTCTCTCCTTCAGATGCAGGTAACTAGCTCAGGTTCTCTTTCAAAGCTCTTCCATCTAATTCCCAATCAGAGCTTTCTGGAGCAAGCCCTGAACTGCCAATGGGGAAATTCCACCCACTGATCTTCCATTCTCCCATGGACTCTTCAAGCCCACAACTCTGTTACACTCTGCACTGGCACCATGATCCAGCTCACCCCAATTCTTGGTACTTTTTTTTTTTTTTTTTTGGCACTGGGGACCAAACTCAGGACCTTGCGTTTTCGAGGCAGATGCAGTGCCACTGAGCTAAATTCCCAGCCAATCCAATTCTTTATGGCACCTTGAAGGATCCTGCCTCAAAGCCTCAGTTCACAGTTCCCTCCTGGAATGCCTTCCTTCACATGGCCAGCCATTAGATCCCAGGGCATCCCCTGCAGCCCATTTGCTGCCAACTTCCTGACAAAGTTCCTAATCTCCCATGGGGCATTGCCTCTGGGTGGGCCTCCTTTGTCTTTTGTGTCCTAAGCTGTGGAACCTCTCTGAAGCAGGGCTTTGTGCCTCTTGAAAAACATTTGCTGAACTGGAAAAGGCCAGCTTACCTGGACAGAACGGTTGGCAAAGACAAGGAAACAGACCCACAAATGCCATTTTCCCTGTCCAAGCCAGTATGCTGCTGTTGAAACTGGAATCATACTACTGCCCACCAAGAGAAGAAAGCTAAGTGCCCTTCCCTCTTATGGGACCCAAAACCTTCTCCAGCCTTGAAAATGCTCAAGCCCCAGCTCTGAAATGACAAGGAGTCAGACCTCTCCCTGTGGAAAGTTCTAGGCCAGAGGCACTCATGTGTTGAACAGCTCTGTGTTCTGGTCCCTAGGGCTCAGGGGCTTGTCTCAAAGGCCTCATTCAGCTCCCACTGGCCTCCCAGCACCACAGGGCTGGACATGACCCCACAAGGTTCAGCCTTGCCAGGCCCTGGCACTGAAGAGCCAGCCATCCGGGAGCTACAGACCAAGAGCTCACTCAATACACTGTCCCTACTGACCTTGGAAACCGTGGCAGAGGGTGGCAGGGGCCTTACACAAAAGGATTCAGCCACACAGCCAAGTTCCAACCTAGGAAAGGCTATGGGCCCAGACAAACCCAAGTAAGCCCAGGTAAGCCCTGGCTCTGCTCTGTGCTAAGAAACCTCTGAGATAAAGACAATTTGTTCAGACTGTGGTCCCCATAATCAAACAGAACTCAGCATGGTGACTGCACTAATTAATGAAAAAAATCACTTTTAACCAAAGCTATTATCTTCACATTTGCCATCTCGTTAAGACATTGTAAAAGAGTGGGTTTGTGTTTGTTTTAAAACCAAGATACCTGGATCATTACACCAATTATCTGCTTCTAGCTGCTTGTGGATGAAATTTCTAACATTTACAAAGACACAGAGCTATCCTCCTCTTACTATTTATCATCCAGGACGGATCATAACACAAACCACCTTTACTTCCCCCAGTAGTTAAAGGTGCCTTTTAACAGCTACCGAAGAAACACACAAGCTCCGTTTGCCAACAGATCAAAGTCAAAGTGGATTTTGCGAGCTGGTGAACAGAGGGTGCTCATAGGTGTTCCAGGTGGTTAATAGAATAGGAAAACACTCTTCTAAACTGTCCGCATTTATACTTGAGCATCCTGAGAAGTGGGGAAAGGGATAAGGCCACATCCCTGCCATCTCAACATTTGTCACGGCCACTGAACCCTTGGAGAAGTGTCTCCTGTTTGCTGTTTGGAAGCCTCCCTACTCAAAGAGTGGCCGAAGCACAAAAACTGGTCCCTTTGGGGTGCTTCCTAGACACACAGACTTCAGGTCTCACCCCAGACTCTGAGCCTGAATCTGCATCTTATCCAATTCCATATGGGATTCTAATGCACAAGAAAGTGTAGAAAGCTCTTTTCTCAAACTGAAATGAGGTCCACAAGACCAAGCATCTAGACAGTAAGTCATCCTGCACTGCAGAGGATTGGTAAGGCCAGTAAAGAATCCAGAAGAACAAGTATCTCTGACAGGTAGACCAGTAGCCCCTTAGGAGCATGGTGCACCAGCACTATGCCTCCAAAGCAGCTCACACCGTGGGGCTCAGACTTCCTCATTGGCTGGATATTAACAGCATCAGCCCTAAGGAGTTATCGGGAAAAGGGCTCTTTCTCTGCCCACTCGAACTTCAAAGAAGCCAACACCACCCCACTGGCGTGTACATTCTGCTACAGAGGCACATGAGGCATTCCTGTAGGTTTCCTCTTTATATTTTTCCTCCCCTTTTTAGACCTGTTGCACTGCTTTTAAGAGTCAGCTTCAAGATATTGGTGAAGTTGCAGAAGTAGAAACACCTGTGCCACCTGGGCCTTGGTGAAACTGCACAACACAGGCCCTGTCACCACCAGCGGAAGCCAGGGAGGACTCAGGTTTGGGCGGTGCGACTGTGGGAAAGTTCTCTTGATTCCTTGCTACTTAAGTGTGGTCGGAGAACCAGTGGAGGTTAGACATGCACAATCTCAGGCCTCACCCAGACCCGCTGAAGGTTAAACGGATTCCCGGTCATATTTAAGCGCCAGGAGGAGGGGCCTACTGGGCTGTTGGAATCGTAGCTACCTCTGCTCCCGGAGATCCGGGATCCTCACACACCCACCAGGAAGCAATGAATGAAGAGGATCTGGGCTGAGGACTGTAAAAGGCCGCAGGTCGCTGCCTCCGGCCGCCCTGTAGGGGAGAGCATGAAAGGGCATCCCCCTTCCGCTGCCACCTGCCAAAGCCTCCTGCTTCGCCTCCAACCCCTTCTCTTCTCAGGGGCAGCCCCCTTTCCAAGCTCCAGGGTGCTGCTCTTAAGACCCACACGCTCGTCCTGACAGCCCCAGACCCCGGGCCTGGGACCCAACCCCAGGCGCTGAAGGAGAGAAAAGCCGACTCACTAGGGTGCCCTCTCCAGCCCCCACTCCACTTCCATCAGCCCCCGCTGCTGCTCGCTCCACCGGCTCCACTCCCGCAGTCACTTCCTGCTTCCCCCACACACACAAACACGTGTCCCTCCTGCCATCAGGCCCCGCCCAGCCGCCACTGGAAAATCCCGCCTAAAGAATTAATTCTCTGGTTCACAGCCTTCCGAAGGCTCCGGAACAGATCGGGGCGGGCAGAACAGAGCCCGGAGGCGAAGAGCAGAGTAGTAGGGCAGGTCGCAGACACCCAGGGAAGAGCCCTTTGTGAGGTCCTGAGTTTGCTACGCGTTGGGTGAGCGTGGTGTGAGTGAGCAGCTGAGCAGGGGAGTGGCGCATCATTCTCTAGATCAGTGCCCCTCAAACTACAGTTCCCATCAGAATCACCCAGAAGATGTCAAACACAGGTTGCACCAACCCTAGAGGTTCTGGCAGTGTCATTCTGAGTGGGCCTGGGGTTTTCTGTTTTGAACTAAGCCCTCTGCTGCTGCTGCTGCTGCTGGTGTCCAGGGCCACTCTCTGAGAACTGCAGGCCTAGGTCAAGGACTCTGCTCCCCAGGGCTTCCATGAGAAGACCAGGGTGGGAGGACGCTAAGATTTGGCCAAACCAAAACAAAATACCAACAGGATCCCTGGCTAAATTTGAGTTTCAGGTAAACAGCAAATAATTCACGTTAATAGGAGGATACCCAATGCAATCTTTGGTGTTTTTTGTTGTCGTTGTTTACCTGAAACTCAAATGTAGCTCAGTGTCCTGTACTTTATTTAGGAAACTTGCCAGAGCCCAACGGGGGCAGAAAAAGAGCCTGTGGTCAGAGAGGCCATAGATTGAAAGGTGCAAGAAGGACAGTCCTCTTTCATGAGTTGCTCACAGTATGGGTGGCACCGTATACCGGGCATTGTGTAGGGAAAATAAAATGACATGAGTGGCCATCGCCCTCTAGAGACCCCCAGTTTCCACACAGAGGGTGACAGGCACCCAGGAAACCACACCAAGATGGCAGGGCCCATGAACGTGACCCTGAAAACACTGCTCCTCCTGCATGCTACAAAAGCCATGACATGGTTTCATATCTCTGACTCACCACAAAATACTGTGGAAGGGACGAGTGGATTGCCTAGACAAAATTAGCCAGATTAATCACTGTGGAAGCTAGGGAATGGACACAGAAAGGTTTGTTAAATTTTTCTTAATACGTATTTCAATTTTTCTGCTCTAATAAGCGTTTAAATTTTTCATAATGAAAAGTGAGCCAAAAAATTTGTGAACAATTAACAAAATGCTCCTCCCACCCCATCTGTTCTGGTGGCTGCTATGGGAATTCAGCCTCCTGACCTCTCACCTAGGTCCTAGTGATCACCTCTTGCCACTCCACCCTGTTCTGGGCACCAGATCAACTTGCCTAAAGCACAGCATGCCATGATCTTGCTTCAAGATCTTCAGTGGTTCCCTAGTGCCTTTGGCATAAAGTTCAAACTCCTCCGCCTGTATTTCAAGATTTTCTGTGTTATGACAGCAACTGACTTTCTCAGATTTGTTTCGTCTCCTTGTGCCCCCCCAACCAAGCAGGGCTGCACAACTACTACATAGTCTCCCCTCTCTGGCACCAGTACATCCCCAGATATCATTTCTACTGCATTTCCCTTCATCTCCTG